GGACTCAACCGAGACACAGCGCTGCTGTGGAGCCCGCTGACATCTAGGAGATAAAAATGCCCTATTGGGGCTGCAGCTGCCCTGGCCAGGAGTGGGTATGGGAGCATGGGTCTAGCTGCACCAGGGCAGAGTCCATGTTCTTTTTCTCCACATTGGTGAGGTCCTACTGTGTGCTGGGAGCAGGGACAGCTGCTTCTCATGAAGTGGGTTCCCTTTTGCAGAGGAGCTGATGAAGGTGGGTGTCTGATCCAAGGTCATTTAGCTAGGGCAGGATCCTGTCTGTCTGACACCTGTACTGGGGGCCCTCAGTCTGTAGGAGACATTGACCTTAGTTAACATAAACCACCATGCTAATGGGACACCCAGGCCTTGCAAAACTCTAAGGCCTGAGAACAATGGTTTCCAGATTGCAGATGCAGCACAGCGGGGTCCCAAGAGATGAGGGGATTTGTTCAAGAGTTTGATTCCAGCCATTGCATGTGAAGTCACCGGGCACTGATCTTCTAAGGTCTAGTTTATGTCATCAAGAAGATGTGCTCCCTATGGCTGTGGAGCCTGAGCACTGCTCATCTGCCCCTATCTCAATGGATCATCTTAGATGCCTCACTTCAGACACCAAGAGATCTTAGTCCACTCTCCAACCACATCCAGAATCTGTGTTCCCTTCATGGCTCCTACAGATGACTCCATCTTTTTATTTTCTCTCTTCTGGTTCCAGCAGTCACCTTACCTGAGCCCCCAGAGCAGCTGGAAGGTCATAGTCAAGCATAAACTACAGCCTATGAGATGGTTCAGCAGGTAAAGGTATTTGCCACCAAGTCTGAAGGCCTGAGTTTGATCCTCATAACCAGGAAGGAGAACACCAACTCCTGCAAGTTGCCCTCTGACCCACACACAGACACTGGGGTGAAGTACCCCCATCAATACACATATAAAAACAAAGTGAATAAAAATAAGTAAGTGAACACACACACACACACACACACACACACACACACACACACACACACACCCCAGACAGAAATCAGAACCTGTACTTTTTTTTGGCTCAACCTTCCCATGGTTCCCGGCTCCCTCATTTCATATTGACACCAGTCTGCTAGACCCTCTCTCTCTCCTCACCACCTCTCTCAGCTTCCCACTCACTAGTCTCCCCTGAGCACTTTTCTTTGGTTGCTCTGGCCTCCTTGCACTCCTGGGAATACTACACACAAGCTCCCATCACGGGGCTGTTGCGCATGTTCTCTCTTCCAGTAATGCTCTTTCCTACATGGCCATGGTGCGCTCTCCCGCCCTCTCAGGAAGACCCTCCCTGGATGGCCTATGTAGATCCCCCACCACAGGTGCGCTTAACCCCTTCCATGCTCCCGGTCTTCCTACACCTCTTCCCCGCTTGACTCTACACCCATCATCACCTGTTTCTGCCCTTCTCTTTGCTTGTGCCTTGTGTGACGCGCATGGTGCTGTCTCTGACTACCAGGATGAAGCTGTGTGACACAGTGGGCACGAAACTGACATTTGTTGGATGCAGGTAGCAGCTGGATGGTGGACCCGAGATGGAGAGGAACAGACTGGGTGTGGCCAGAGGCTGTAAGGGTTGAAATGAATTGGGAAAACACATAAGAAAACACAACTGCAGGGCAGTTGGTAGTGCGAAACCAGATCTCAGTTTACCCATCTAGTCATTGGGCCAGTGACCTCATATCCTTAGTAGGTGTTGGGGGGAATGTTGGCTTCATTTGCAGATGAGACAGGAAGGTCATCAGGACTGGGCTCACCAGTGATGAAGGCATCTTCCCTCTCTCCTCCGTTAGCTGTGAGAAGTCACAATCTGTAAATAGCTACAATGTCCACAAACACGGTCATCGGAGGGGGGGGGGGTCCTGCCTGTGGCACAAACTACACATTACCCAGCACCTCAGGGCGGAACTGAATTCCTGGGCTGATGAGTTTGGTGAGGGCGGCAGCCACCCCCCTTCCCCTCCCCCAATCTGCTTCCTCTCGCCTCCTCTTCCAACCACGTGTCTGTCATTTTTCTTTTCCCCAGAACGTGCATTTGTAACCAATTTCTCAGTGGCCAAGGGAGGATTTTTAAAAATAGTGTCATTGATTTGGTGTTTTGGAATAAAAAGCAATGGATGAGTTTTGTTTAGAAAAAAATATAATTAGATGGTACAGAAAAGAAAGCAGAAAAGAGAAATTGGCCTAAATCTTCCCAGAAACATTCTTCATCCTTATTTGGTGTCGTGCCCCACCCCCATCCCAGCCCTGCCCTCTGGGGTTGTTCTGCTGACTTCCTTGTCCAGATCGGACAGGGTCTGACTTCAGGGCAGATGGCACAGGGTCAAGCCAGCAGGGGTGAAGCAAGACTAGCGTGTAGTGCAGTGTGAACAGAACCACAGGCCACCCTGGCCCTAGTCACCATGACCCTAGTCATCACTGCCCAAAGTTTTGTCAGAAGATTTTCAGTAATCACCCCTCCTATTGTAAAACAAATGCCAGATAGCTAAGGTTCATTCACATCAGTTTTGCTCAGAGGGGCAACATGACTTTGTCCAAAGCACAGCGAATTTGGGAATGAGGAAGCCAGGTCTGTGATGGCAACTAGGTCCTTCTGAAGACAGTCGAATAGAAGGACTTGAGGTGGCTCAGACACCTGCACTCAGCCCTCTTGTGTAGATGTGGAAATTGAATCAGACAAGAGAAGTCACTTGTCCAAGGTCACACAGTTAGGGAAGAAGGTGACTGCTGTCAGGATGGGGATGGAGCAAGAGGAGGATTAATTATACTTTTCTTTTTTACAAAGGGTAGCCTTTCTGTTCCTGCAATTGGGTACAAGACCTTGGGACATCCCCCACAGTCCACTCAGTTTCCAATGTTGGTGCCCGCACCAGGTCCCACCTCCATGGCCTGAGGTCAGCAGTGGTGCCCCCTGGTGGCTGGTTTGCTGTCACCTGCCAGAGAAGGGATGGAGTGCAATGAGGGGAGGGGCCTCCCCATTCCTCCCCTTCCTTAATGCCACATCCTGCAGTGTGCTCCTTGGGGGATATCCCATGCCTGCTGCAGGCCTGTGGGTGGCGACAATACCTAGAAATGCCCCAAACCCTGATTTTTCTGCTGGCCTCCTGCCACTCCTATTCTCAGAGTCCCTGGCCCCTCCCACAGGTTCCTATCATTCATCCGCTCACTCCCAATGCTCCCTCACCCGCTCATGACTCAACTATCCACCAGGAAACCCTTATGTCCTTTTTCAGGCTTGGGGGGAGGAGGCATGTCCCAGTGGTATCTCCTACCGCCAATGCGTCTTGACAGCCTCCAGTGCCCCCATCCCTCCCAGGAAGTTCTAGTGTACTGGCCTTCATCATTCGGGGGGATGTGAACCTTTGAGGGATGCATCATGTTACCAGTGGGTTCAAGACCTTCTCTACACAACCTCCGCTATGTATATGCTCTTGGTGACCTAGCATGTCTTGGGTGACCCAGTGGTGCGGGTGCCTGTGGCAGCCTTCTGGACCTCCCAAAGGTCAGTTTCGTGTATGAACTTGCCTGGGCTAAGAAAGTGCCAGGTAGCTGGTAGAACATCACGTGCCTGTGGGTGTCTGAGAGTGGCAGCCCTCGCCCATGTGGGTGGCGTCAGGCCCTCTGGAGAGAAGCGCGAGGTGGAGGAGGCGTGGACTTGCTCACTCTCTGCTGGGGCTGAGGACTTCTTTCTCTCAGGCTTTCCCGATGGGATGGGGCCACACCAGCAGCTTCTCTGCGTGTCCAGCGCACAGACGGCAGGTGCTCCGTTGCACCTCTAGGGTTTCCTACAGAGCAGCCCTTGCTCAACAGGGAAGCAGACAGGGTCTCCTCTCACTGCTGAGTGATGAATGGCCGACCTGACAGCTCACCTGCCTACTAACAGTCACACTCCACCCTGGGGGCTGTGAGAAGGTCTACGTGGGACCCTGGGGAGTGTGGGCTGCACATCCTCCCTGGGTCTCCTTGCTACACCATCACAGGCAGCCGAGGCGAGTCTGCCCAGGAAAGTGGGCAGACTCAGCATGAAGCACAGTCCTGCCGCAGAGGCCAGGGAGGCAGCTCCTCCATAGACCATCCCCATCCAGACTGTGGGCAGCACAGCAGAAACATTTAAGTAAGGGGGCTGCTCTTATGTCCTACTCCAAGGTCCTGGAATAGGTGTTCAGAGACTGCCTACTGGGTGTGCGGAAGGATCTGATGAGACTGGGCTTCAGCAGATCTCTTGCTCTGATTCTTGGACCCCTCCACCACCACAGGAAACTTGTTGAGATTGACAGGGTCTTTGACTTCACTTTCAGAATTCCCCTCTTCTGGCTATTGGCCTTGTCTCACAGAGCTAGGCTGTAGAGCCACAGGCGGTCTGCAGGGGTCACTAGCACACACAGCTGCCTGCTGGTGTGCCTGGCAAATTAATTCTTAAATCCTGTAGGTTCAAATGTCTGCAGCTGAAGTTTCTTGGGCAGAAAGAAGACACATATTATTATGACAGCCTCTTGCTGACTTGCTGCTGACACCCAATTAAGTGAGTACTCAGGCTGTCAGGTGGTAGAAGAGCCCTCAGTTCAGTGACTCACCTGATTCAGCAAGGAGAGGGGCAAGGGACGGATTCTGTGGTTTCTTAGCTGTGTGAATGGTGTGTGTGTGTGTGGGGGGGTAGCTTGACTTCTCTGTGCTTTGGTTCTCCTTATCTGTAAAACGGACAGGTGATTGTGAGAATTAAAGAGAGAGATCTGCTGACCATTCAGGAAGTGTCTGTGAAGCAAGTTCCATGTCCCGTATGTCGTAGTGACTATGAGAATGGTAAAGGCATCGAGGGACGTGAGGCTCGAAACACCACTCCTCCCCGTGTATGTGGTCTGTAATGCCGAGTGGAGATCACAGCCTTTAATTACCAATGGTTACGAGGGCCTGCCCTGTAGATACCCAAAGACAGGAGGAAAATGCAATGAAGACCTCCTGCTGAAAACAGCCACATGGGAGTTGATCCACGTCTTTTAATTTTTAAAAAGGAGCAGACAGACAATCTTGTGCTCTTTGGGTTACCAATAAAAAGTTTGTTATGTAAAACAGTCCAACCCTTTTCATTTTTAATAATACTGTAAATATCTCAGAAAGGATATATTGTATCATTTCTAATGAATATCAAAAAAGTTGTCACAATGACATGTCCCCTTGCTCCCTCTTTCCCTCCCCTCCTCCCTACAGTTACCCAAATACTAGTATGAAATTACAAAACAAAACAAAACAAAAATATAACCCCCAAACCACAAGCCTCCCTCTATCCTAACCCATGAGTAGTGTTAAGAGTGTCAAGTGTTAAGGGCCACATGTACAACACGTGTGTCTGTGACAGGCATTAGGGATCTGTCCATCTATCTGTCCATGAGGGAGTTGGTGAGGAGCAATAGCAGCAATGGGCGGCCTCCCTCCTCAGGGGTGGTGGGGGACAGTAGTTGAGAACCAGTCCCACAGGTCATCTTCAGTATGATGCTGGCCTTCCCAGAAAGAATTCCTGGCCTGTTTGTTAGCCACTGGGGGAGGGTGCCTTGGACAAGTGCCCAGTTAGCTGGGGGAATGCTGGGCACTGGCTCAGCCATCTCAGGTTTTAGGAAGAGGTGTGGGGTGCTGGGCAGAATGGCCAAGAGTCGAGAAGCTTTGTGGAAATGGAGCACTCATGTCTTTGACAGGACACCGGAGCCTTAGTTTGAAGAAACCTCACCTTTCCACTAGACAAATGCAGGAAACTACAGGAAGAGGGAAAGGACACCCCTCCCTCCATATCTCATCCCCCAATAGCTGGGCAAACAAAGCAGCTGGAAAACCCAGCAGATGAGGAAGAGAGAGGTCAGTACAAGAGGTCTGAGCCAGGAAGGAGGACACAGCACCAGTCTCCCCCTGGGGACCACATCTGCTCTCCATTTTCAAGGAAAAGCCTGAGGGATGGGCGCCCAGTTCCTCCCTCTGGTAAGTGAAGGCTCCTCACACCCAGGCAGATGGGACAGCTCCAGAATAAGATGTCTGCCCGCAGGATCTGCAGGGGGTGGCAGGAAGGTAAAGAATAGGGCAGGGGACAAGAGGAGAGAAGGGGTTGTATAAGGAGGGTCTGTGGGTAGAATCCAGCCCTAGGCCTCACTGTAGCTCCCCTGCAGGGATGGCCATAGATCCTAAGCCCCAGATCCTGGCCAAGCAGCTGCAAGAAGAGGTGGTTGCCTTCTAACCATCCCTACCTAAGAAGGAGGGACAGATTGATAGCCAAGAAGGCTACACGGATGGTGGGACCCCTGCCACGGGTTCTGGGGATAGGCTGGTCTCCAGGGATCAGGGCCAAGTAAAACTCCATTTGTTAGGGAAACAAACTTTCCCAACATAGTTTGTGTGTGTGTGGAGTTTGAGTTGGGGGTGGGGTGGTCATAGCAAAGAGGGCCAGAGAAGAGGCCTGCAAGTCTCTGCAGATCAAGATCAAAGCAGCCGTTCAAGGCAGTGAGGCAAGGAATCTTTCCCTGCTTCAAGGGGAAGACTCCACTCTATTCCTTCCCTTAATCTGGAAGATGGCGAAATTGAGCCACAGGGAAAAAAGGGAGTAGTTATAGTCACTGGATGAGACAGTTGTCCACTCCTGATTACTCAGGAGCCCTGAGGATGGTGGGCTGTTTTCTTCAACGTCTTGCAACTTTGACATGTGGAAGTCCTGCCATTGGAAATGGGGAAGACAAAAAAGAAAATAACAGAACAAAACAAACTGTCCCTAGGCTACAGAGGAGGGTGGCCAGAGAAACTCAGAGACAAAGTCAGGAATGACTAAAAACCAGAGGTGGATAGGAACCATTCCCTTACTCCACCTGCCCACAGCATAAAGGTTGACAATATAATACAAGGACTCTAGAAAACATGGGTTGAGCCACCCTAGGCCAGGATCTGCTAGTCACTGTACAGAATTATCTTGGTAAGGTGGATACACCCGTGATCACAGGAGTGAGGCAAGGGTACAGGGCACACAGTGGCCGGCTGGGAGTTAACTTGTTAATAGTCCTGTGCAGACGAGCAAGCCCCTAACATTAGGTGAAGTACAAGGTTCAGGATTCATTTACAAGCACGGAAGGAATGGTGGAGAAGGATCCAACTGGCTGGTGGGGAATCAGAAGTGTGTCTCCTTCTCTGTGATGGCAGAGATGGTGCCGTCACCCTTGACCTTGGCCTCACAGTCATTAACGGTCACCGTCCGTGGGCTGGCCCCAAGCTTGCCCCGCATTTTCAGATCAGCGCTGGGGACTGTCAACTTCTGTAATTTCTAGATGGTTGGAGAGGAAAAGGCTGTGTGAGCAATGCTGCTGGGGCCTGGGGTCTGTCCACTTCCGCCTCCCCAGATGTACAGACACTCCTCGGAGCTATGGGGTCTGTCCACTTCCACCTCCCCAGATGTACAGACACTCCTCGGAGCTATGGGGTCTGTCCACTTCCGCCTCCCCAGATGTACAGACACTCCTCGGAGCTATGGGGTCTGTCCACTTCCGCCTCCCCAGATGTACAGACACTCCTCGGAGCTATGGGGTCTGTCCACTTCCGCCTCCCCAGATGTACAGACACTCCTCGGAGCTATGGGGTCTGTCCACTTCCGCCTCCCCAGATGTACAGACACTCCTCGGAGCTATGGAGCCATCAGACTGAAGGCCAGGCCCTGGCTCTGCCTTGCTCCTCAGTTCTGGGTGAGGCATTACCTTCTTGAGTTCCCACCACCAGAAATGGGGATGGCTGAGGTCCCACTCCAGGCAGTAGGTGACAAGCAAGGAGATGGAGACAGACTAGGTGACCAAGACTACAGAATCAGACTCAGGGCCTGCCACCCCATGCCTGCCTTGGCAGCAGGGAGAGCTGGGCTTGAAGTGGCCTGATGGTTGTGCCAGCCAGTCTCCTGGCCTCTGGCTGCATCCCTCTATCTGTGGGCCAGGATGGCAGGCGCTGTCCAGAGGGTGAGAGACTTCCAGGGCTGGTTAGTCAGAGTCCTACCCTACCCTGGGTTTGTCACCACACCAACTGCCTTGCAGGAGAAGCTCCATGTACTGAGATCCCCAAGCTATGCTTAGAGGCAGATGTCATCCCTACTTCAGCCTCTATGTGTATCCTCAACCTCTCAGAATGCATTTTGACCATGGGCCCCACATCAGCACCATTTTGTACTGCCCTTGGACCAGGATTCAGGAGGCCCTCCTGAGCATGGGCCTTTACCTGGAAAAAAAAGCTGCAAGGACTTTGGGGTGGCTTAGTACTTGAGGACAAGGTTGGGCTTCCTCATTCAGGTGGAAGTCATGCTGTCTAGGTAGGGTTAACATTCAGACTCATGGGAGCTGATTAACCAACCATGCCTCCTGTGTGCCAGGCTCAGGGTGTGAATGGACAGGTGGAGGTCTCAGGGTCTCAAGATCTCAAGGCCTGGGACTGGACCAGATCAGAGGCTCATTCTGCAACAAGCCCTGCTATTTGGGTGGGCAGGGTATGAGCTAGGGTGACAGAAAGAAGCCAGCAAAGGGCGTGTGACAACCAGGAGGCTGCTGGAAGGCTGAGCTGGGGTCCCGAGGCTAAAGCTTTGAAGCCCCCTGTCAGTTTCCTCTGGACAGTTTGGTCTCAGTAACAATTAACCTACTGCCCTTGACCAATACCTCCTGAAAGCAACAAAAGGGACCTTCCCCATCCACCCATCTCTGCTGGAGCCCAGGCCCCTCAGGCAGGGAGCTGGAGGACACATTTTGGATGGCACTTGTGTCTCCCTGTGACCTGTCGGAGCTGATGTTTGACCAAACCTCAGTTCAGAGATGTTTTCTCTGTGGGAATCCCCAGACCTCTTATACCCTCTATCAATTATGGGGTGGCTGTCAGCCTGGTGGGGAGGCTGAGGTAGAATTAATTCACAGAATCTGACTTTAACCCAGACATCCCAGAGGTGCTTCTGGCACATTTTAAGGATGAACACCTGCCAAAGAGGAGCCTGCCCCAATTCCCTTCCATCCAGACCCCTCCCCACCCCTGCTTCCTCTACCAACTGCTCACCTCAGGCAGGGTGCCCTCTGTCTTCCACATCTTGATGAAGATCCAGAGTGGGATGCATAGCATGGAGGATAGGGCCATGAGCCAACCGATGCCGTAGCCCCAAGCTGGGTATGTGTACACATTGTTGTACTTGAGGGGCTTGTACTTGACCAGGAAGAAGATGAAGATGCCCTGTGGAGAAAGATGGAGGTTCTTGGCGGTGTCCCTCAGCCTTGCCCAACTCCAAGGGCCCAGACACCTCGACTGTCCAGTGAGCCTGAGGTAGAACCATGAAGAGAAGCTGGTCTGACTGCTAGAACTCGGGGACTGCGGCCTTGGGGTCCAGACTCTCAAGAACCTTGGGGCCTCTCTAGGGATGTGCTGTGCCCACTCTCCCAGGATGGTCTTTCTCAATATCTTCCCACTCAGAGTCTATCTTAGGGCTATCTTGAATCTGCTATTCTGACCCCTTCAGTTGGGAAGATAAGCTCAGATGTTCCCCGGAACCAAAGACAGGACAAAGAATAATGAGACTGTTTTTCTGTTAAGACTCCTCTCACCAGGCTGGTTTGAGGCCTGGTTCCACAGACAGAGCCTAAACCTTGACATTCTCCTTACCTCTGTCTGTCACCTTCTCAGTAAGAAATATCCTCACTCATGTTTGCAAACCCCTGGCACCCAGAGAGGTAGACCAGTGTCAGGCTGCTGTACCTAGCCCTGACAAGGGACAAACATGTTCAGGGTCATTCAACACAGAGGTGGGAACTTGAGTGAGGCCTGCCTTGGCAAGCCCAGAGTGTCAGTTGGCTGGGCCCTGGGCTCTGTGACCCTCTTCAGGGCCAGCCTCAGCTGAGCTGACAGGAGCTGAAGAGTGGCTAGTGAGCAAGCGGGGGGGTGGGGGGGGTGGGGGGGGGTGGAGGGCTGGAGGTGGCTTTCTGTAGGCCTTACCGCGCAGATCCCAGGGGTCACAACTTTCCAGCACCATTTGATAAGTGACAGTGGTCGGTAGCCAATCATGTCCTCGATGTTGTCATAGAACCGGTTGCTTCCTATCCAGAGGAAAGCAGACAGACAGACATATCTCACAGCAGAGGTGGGGTGGGCCTACTTTCCCCAGCAGAGGACAGAGTGCTTTGGCTTGAGTGTTGAGTACCCGCAAGGAAATCTGGGTCCCTTGGGCAGCACTGCTATGTGTGAAGGTGAGAAGAACTATTGTGCTCTATGAAGTAAGGCCCCACAGAGGTCCTTACGTCAATGGTGGTGTGTCTTTCTGTTCCTGGCTAGAGATGTGAAGTCTTTCTCCAGCAGACTCCCACCGTGAGAGGCCTTCACCAGGGCCAGAAACAATGAAACCACCTGGACTTGAACTCCAGAACCATGAGTTCTGCTAGCCCTCTACTTCTTAAGTAGCCCAGGTCAGGACTTTCTTTACAGTGGTGCAAAACCAGTGAACACAATGGTCAGGGTGATTCACAGGGTAGTGGGCTTTCGAGGTGAGGGCCTGCTGGGCTGCTTGTATGACTAGTGGTTATTATTCCCAAGCTACATTCTGTTTGTCCTTGAGACAGCAGCTGTCATCCTGGTTTGTGTGAGGACCAGAAGGTAAATTGAGTGAGGGTGTGGCTCATGCTAGAGGCTCTGCCTGAAGTCTCTCTCAACGGGGGAAACTGAGCCTAGAGTAGGATTGGCCAGAGATCAGGGTGTTTGGGTCCTGAACACCCTATGCCAGCATAAAAACAGGAAGGTCTTATGACAGTAGGAAGGGACCTGAGTTCCCAGGGAAAGCACCCAGACCGTTACAGCTTACCAGGCCCCAGGGGCCCAGACTCCACTTACCATATACCCAGCCAATGCAGACACACTCAAAGATGGCCACGAAGAGCAAGCACATGCCACTGGCAGCGTAGGAGTCAAAAAGCTGGAAGATGTACATGCCTCCCTGTGGGTAAGAGGACAGGCACAGAGACAGACACGAGGGAGAACAGAGTCAGTAGCCACCCTCCATGGGGCCCTCTCTCTGCCTTGGCCTGAGTGCTACACTCTCTGCAGCTGGGCATCACAAGGCTCTGTCCTACAGAGATGTCAGGGTTGTAGGTGGCCTGGGGCATCAGAGGCTGCACTGAAACCACAGTGGAGGGCAGACGGTTTCAATATCTCTCCCCAGATGGTCACTTCCAGAAGCTTCCAGGCCGGCCTTACTGCTGCTAGTCTTACCCTCTGTCATCTTTTTAGAGGCTTAAGATTACCCTTTGTCCCTCCAGTCTGCCCAACCACCCATTCTCAGCATAGTGGCCTTACTTTGCATTTGGTTCAAAGCTCAGCCAAAGTGTCACTTCCTCTGAAAAGCCCTCCCTCCTCGGCCTCGCTCTTTCTTCAGGCTTCTAGACTTCATTGTCTGAACTCATAATTTAATCCTAAAAGTAGCCTGTCAGCAGCTGAGAGCTCCGAGCTCTGCCCAGGAAGCTCCCACATTTGTCCTTACTGTGCCTCCAGCCTTCACCACAGGGCCCAGTGCACAGTAGGTCCCCAAAAGATGTAAATAGAATCACCTGGACCATGGGCTCTGTGATGTCCTACTGGCAGGCTTGCCCAGAGCTCAGAAATGGACACATAGTAGGTGCACAGTTCATCTTTGAGATGAATTATTGATGAAGGGTTGCCTTTGGGCCTGCTCTATAACACATGGTTGGCACTGTGATGGCTGGCCTTAACATCAACTTGACCAGAATCAGGATCAACTTACCTCTGGGGGGCATGTCTGTAGGGACTGACCATAGTAAAAAAACCTGGCCTCAGATTGGGCAGTGTCTTCCATCAGAAAGCTCAGATAGAGATTTGAGGAAAAACATGTCTTCACCTATCGCTGAGAAAGTGTTTCTGTTGTGGCCTCCACCACCATCCATGGACCCCAACTTCAGCTTTCCAACACAGACACAATGCTAGGGACTTTCAGGTGATCTTCCCAGGCTTCCAGTCTCAGTTTACAACCACCGGGGCATCAAGCTCTGTGGGACAAGTCGCTACCAGGTTCTCCGACCATGTAAGCCATCCTAGTGAACTTCTTTTTACACTCTGTTTCCCTAGAGAACCCCAACAGACCTCTTGGCATTCTCCCTCAAACAGTACAATGTAGCTCTTCACATGCTGTTTATATGATGTTAGGCAGTATGAATAATCCAGAGATGATTGGCATACGCGGCAGGAGGTTTGCTGGTCCTATGAAAATAGGAAGGACCTAGGAAGCCACAGATTTGTTGCTCATGGGGTTCTGGTGTGAAGGGATGACCATCAGAGAGAGTCTGAAGACGAAGTTCAGTGGAAGCCCTGTCATTCAAAGTCTCCTTCATGAGGATTTGGGGGTGGTGAGAGCATGGGAGGGGAAGGGGGGTCTCACTTGGAACAAGAGTCCCCCAGTCACATTCCCATTCTATCATGTATATTCCCTTGACTGAGACCATGTGTTCTCTCATTAGTCTCCTCCAAAGACTGAGGTAACATAATGAAGACAGGGCCACACATAACACCAACGTGAAGTGCAGGTTAAGTGTGCAGGGCATGTGGAGACTGCGGCTAACTGCAGAGCCCACACCATCTGGACACACTGTTCTGGCCGATGGTTAGGGGGCATGGGTGTGAGGCCTGGTGTGCAGATTTTCTTAAATGGGTCAGAAGTAAATTTTTACAGGGAAAAGTTTTCTTTTTAACATTATTGATGATATCTTCGTGTTTTGAAAAACACAGGGATGAAGCTAATGCCTACCTTTCATGCCATTCAGTGCCAATGGACACTGCCTGAACCATCTCAGATTTGAGAATACAGTTATGGACTGCAGTGTTTTTACTGTACATATAAAAGTGTCTGCTCTTCCAGAAACACAATGGTTTAATTATGGAAAGTAAAGATTTTTTTTGTATTTTCTCAGTCATTCCTCAATGTGTATCAAGTTAGGATATCTTTGCATTGTATTCTTAGAATGTTTGATATTTCTTCTTACATTTAGTGCATGCCTATGTGACTGCATACGTGTGCAAGTCAGAAGACAACTTGTGGGAGTCAGTTCTCTCCTTCTACCATGTGGGTTTTGGGGCCAAGCTCAGGTTGTCAAGCTTGGTGGCACCTTTACCCACTGAGCCATCTTGCCAGTCTCAGAATGTCTGGCTTTAAAAAATGCTGTTTGAGTTGCACAAACGATCATTCAATAAATTCTTGGAATTAGGACAGAGTCACAATTTCTGAAATGACCATGAACATGCTTCTGAAGTTGTGAGCTATATATTTATACAACCAATGTTCTCAGTGTTGATGATCATAAAACCAAAATATTGATCAGCTCTGAAAACACTTAAAGACAGTATCAAATATTCAGCCAAGATTTGATTCTTCACATAAGCACACCTACCTTATTAGTATGCAACTTTGCTTATGTTTTAATAAATGACAAAATCATCTGTACACCTAATAATTGTTTTCAAAGAAATTTCCTTATAATTTATTATCACTACATTTTGGTTTGTATGCCTATTATTATTTTATCTATATGAGGATTTTTGCCTGCATGCATGTCTGTGCATCATCACATGTGTGAAGTGCCTGTGGAAGGCAGAAAAGGGCATTGGGTCACATGGGACTGAAGCTACAGATGGTTGTGAGCTGCTACATGGGTCCAGGGAGTCAAACCCAGGTCCTCTGCAAGAGCAGCCAGTGCTCTTATCCACTGAGCCATGTCTCCAGACCCTGTATATCTACTTTATATGTCTATCACCCAGGGTCACACACAACTCCTCGAGTGAAAACGGACTGTGTGTAACAAGGCTGAAGAATTCCTGCTCTGATGTCCATATGACATCACTTGGTGACATACTCTTCAGAACACAGCCCCAGTAAGGGACGGATAGATATACTGGCTTTAACTTTTCCACATCTCAATGTGCTTCTTGGCTCCCTCCTCTTCCAACAATGCGATAACAGGCATAACTATTGCTCTTCAATGTCTCTCCAGGAAAACTGAGGCACCAAGAAGCAAGGCCACTTGCACCAGGGTGTCATGGAGCTGAGTCTGGGGGCTGAGAACTGAATGGCAGGGCCCACGGTCTCAGCCACCAGCCAGCAGTCTGTGGTGGAAGACGAGAAGTGGGTAGTCTGGATTTTCCTTAGACCCGAGCTTTAACCAAGTGTAAATGAGAGAGACGCTCTGGCAGGCATTTACCAGGGCAGCTAAGGCTGGCATGGCTCACTGGGTCCACTGTGAACTTCTTCAGCACAATGGCTTGAAGATACCCCTCGGTGGGGGTGGAGGGCCGCTGATTAATAGTCTCAGTTGGCTGGAGCGCTGACTCCCTGATGGACCCCTGGGAGTCACCATGCACCCTTGAAGAGAGCTCTGTGCACTGGGGGCAACCCAGGGCAGGCTGTGCATGGAGTCAGAGACACCCACAGCAACACCTTTCCATTAGTTTCTTCAAGGCATCAGGTTAAGTCCCTCCCTGATTTGTATGCAACAAATGGCTCCATTCTGTGTAATTAACCAGTGCTTAATGAGGCCCTACTTACTGTAGCCTGGCCTCCCTACATGGAGAAACACAAGGCAGAATTACCGCAGGGAGAGCAGGAACTGGACACTCACCCCATTCATTTGTTCAAACAGTGACTGTCATTCTCATTAATGTGACAGTGAGTAAGGACAGCAATAACTCAGTCACTCACACCAAACATGAGACCTGAGCTGCCTTCAGGGTCCCTGGGCTGAGCAGGGTAGGTTCCTGTTCTCCCCCAGGAGAGATAACAGGACAGTTGAAAGGTCAATTAGGGATCTTTTTAACAGCCAGAGGGACAGGGAGTGGGCTGGGAACACAGAGGCCCAGGGTGGGGAGGTGACAGGAAGCCTAATGGGAAGGGAAGCCAGGGAACTTCTCTGAGCCTGTGGTCTGGGAGGAAGACATGGAGGAGGCCTCTGGAGAGGGCTGGCCTCTGTTTCACCTGTCTGCATAATGGATTCCAGTTCCCCAGTCCTCCTCGTTTCTCACACAACCTCTACATCTCTCAGCAATAGATCTGCCCATCCCCCTTCCCTGCATTAATTATCTTTGTGCATTATGAGGAGAAAGACACCTAATCTCACCTCCCAAGGATACCTGACACAGGATGGGAACAGGATAGCTGTGGGGTGGAGGGAGCACATGGTTTAGAAGACCTCAATTCGGGGTCAGGGAGAAGCCCACCTCACCTGCAGGCTCGGGGAGGAGGCTGAGGCTGGAACACAGCAAATGTCACCCCAGTCTGAGAGATGTTCCAGAAAAGCCAGTATTGAACTTGAGGCCATGACAAGGAGCCAGCTCAGGGCTCAAGAGCTGACATTGTTCTCTATACTGGAGGGTCACCCAGTGGGTGACTAGGGAACCACTGTCTGGCCTGAAAAGTCCCCATGTGAGTTGTTCTGTCTAGAAATAGCCACCTTTGGCACTGACTCGGGGGGACCTTGTACTCAGAGCTCCATGACAGTCTGTGTTCATTCTCAGTGTCCACGAGGAAGAGCAGTATCCGAGTAGCCGAGAAGGCTCGGGATCTGCCCACAGCACAGGGTCTGAGGTCACGGAGCTGTAATGTGATGGAACACGGCTGACATCACTTACCTCTGTCAACATCACCAGGCCTAGGAAATAAGAGATAATGGACAGGGCCAGGATGAGCAGTTCTCGCCGGTAGCCCCGCCGGAAGACCTTGGGGTACATGTCAACCACAGCAGTCACAAGGCTCTCCACACACACGAACTAGAGGGAGAGACACAACATGTGAAGCCCAGTCATGGCACCCTAGGTCCATATACCAGGGGCTTCCTTCTCACTGGCCAGCCCTACACCTTACACTCCATCCCACAGAGACGAAGGCAAGGCCAGCACCAATCAGCTCCAGTATATCCATTGAATGGACCCCGACAAAGATGCTTAGAAAAGGGAAGCTACTGCCCAGGGCCACACGGCACACAGTCTGTGACGGCTACTGCCCAGGGCCACATGGCACACAGTCTGTGACGGCTCCTTCTCCCTCGTTGCTGTCACTTCTTGTTCTGGGGTTCATGGGTTACAAGAGACCCAGCCTTTCTGCTTGAGGCAAAGCAGGAGTCTCAGAACTGTCCTAGGAGCTTGATAATCTGCTGCCAGCAGGCTCTGGCCATTGCTGTTGACTTCTAGGATTGTGGCAGTCCCCTACCCCACGACAGGTGGAAATTCACATCCAGCTGTGTCACCCAGGTGGTTGGTAGCAGAGCCCAGCTGTGAACCACCTGCTTCTGAGGGGGCCCCTACCTTTGTGCTGCAATGGAGTATACATTTACAAGTCACCATATTAGGAGACTCTGCACCCATAATTGTCTGCTTTACATCTATCTTCCCAGACACGGTGTGTCCGTTACACAAAAAGGATTGGGACCCACAGAAGGGTGATGACTCACTCAAGGTCACACAGCTGGGACCTATTCAGAGCTGATGCTCAACCCTGATCCTCTTGTACTGACTCCGCAAGTAGGGCTGGTACTGCCTGCCTTTCCCCGGGGTTCTATGGGAGGGAGATGGGATTCAAAGGCTGCTAGCCCAGGAAGCTAATGAGGTTTGTGGTGTGGACACATACAGCTAAGAGGCAAGCAGACCTGGATATCTGCCCTGCCAATTCACTCAGCACCTCCAAGCAGTGGCTTCTACTTTCAAACCCAGACAATGAACCAGGACCCGCCTTCATGTGACTATCAGAGGGAGGGCTGAACATGGCCCAGGCAGAGTGGGCATGAGCAGAGTCCTTGCCTCAGCCCCACGTCTGCTGGCAGGCAGGACCCTCTGTCACACACCAGCTGCAGAGCCCTGATTTCTGAAAGGCTTAGCTGACAACAATGGAAGGGAAAGCTATCAGCAGAAACAGCCGGCGTGTCTGCAGCACAGCTTAGTGGTTTCTGGGGAAGGATTCTGGCTTCAGAGAGAAATTGAATGTGGCTGGATTGACAGACACACAGGCCAGGCCTTGTGTGCTCTTGCAAGGTCGTGAGTGGGAGCAGTGCTCATTGGCTAACTTGGGCACCACCCTTCCCCCTAAGGCTGGTGGATCATGGCTGCTTTCCTTGTCAAACAGCAGTTCTCTTCTGCACAGCACAGGCTTGTCAGGACACCTTACTGACAGACACCAACATGGCTGGAAGCAGTTCTGTGGGCTCTAGACAGCTGTGCTCAGCAGCAGGCAGGGGCTGTATTCTAGGCCTGTGGGGCAAGGAGAGGCCATGGGCTTCAAGCTGGGAGGATGAGCATGGGCGCGGAGAGAAGCGGGGAGGGAGGACAAGCCGGTGTTGAGGAATGAGCAAATGTACCTGTGAGGGAGGGAGGGAGGGAGGGAGGGAGGGAGGGAGGGAGGGAGGGATGGCCAGAGGTCCACGGGGACCAGTGGGCACACAGATGCTGGGTGAAGGTGCTGAGGTTCCAAGAGGATGCCAAGAACAGGTCATGGAGACCTCATCACTGGGCCAGAGGAAGGAAACTGGCTCCCCTATGTCCCAAGCACTCCATGGCTTGGTAGGAATGAGGACATGGGGACCCTTGGTCATAATTAGCCACAGTCCACCCTCTTTAGGACTTGTTTCTGCTTTTGCAGGAATCTCTGGCAGGGAGTCATTTATCAGAATGGAAGAACTTAGAGCATCATTAAAAAATTAAATTGGGGGCCAGGTGTGGTGGTGTATGTCTTTAGTCTCAGCACTCTGGAGGTGGAGACAAACAGATCTACATGAGTTTGAGGCCAGCCTGGTCTACATATCAAGTTCCAGGACAACCAGGGCTACACAGAGAAACCCTGTCTTGAAAAACAAACAAACAATCTGTACCAAAAAATTGAATTTGGATCTGGGACCTGAATTCTATCCCCAGGACTCACATGGTTGACATAGAGAAGTAATCTCCACAAGTTGTCCCTGGACCTCTGCATGTGTACAGTAGCAGGTGAGCACGCATGCATGCACACACACAAATAATTCAATGCAAAATTAAAACAAAACAAAGCTAAAAGCAGAAACAAACACAAAACACTTAAATTGGGAATTTGGGGTGAAGCAGATAAGGAGGTGTGGAGGGACACCTATGCCTATGACTGGAGGATATCAAGAAAGTGGCAGGGCTGCTTGGTAGCCTGATGTCCAAGGTTAGAAGACGGGTCTGGGGTCTAGAAGCTGTAGCACCTGGCCTGTCTAGTTCCTGTTCTTCCTTTCCCCTCCCCCTTAGCTGACCTGGTCCTCCCCTCCTCTCCCCCACCCATTACCTAGATGTCCCCTCCCCCACCATCCCTTTCCCTCTTCCTGCCCCTCACCTGGCTGTCCAGGCCCAGGAAGATGAGCATCATGAAGAACAAGGTAGCCCACAATGGGGAGAGGGGCATCATGGTGACAGCCTTGGGGTAGGCGATGAAAGCCAGTCCAGGACCTGGAGGGGAGGGAGAGAGGTCACTCTTCCAGTGTTTCCATCTGCAGGGGTGCAGCAGTGTCCAGTTCCAGCCATGGACCCAGGTCCCACTCGGCTCTCCTGTCCCTACTGTGCTGACAGTGCCGTGTAAATACGGGCCTACAGAGAAGTTGTCACTGTGCAGAGGGTCTGGGAAGGCCAAGGTTCAACCAGGAGTGTCTGACCCACAGATCTTCCTCGGTATCCACCTGCCACCTGCTTCCACATTATTCAAATACTCTCACCAGCACCGCACAGCTGCTGAGTCTAAGCGAGAGAGGAAAAGTCTACCTAACAGTGGCTCTTAGACTAGTGAGATGCTGCAAAGCAAGGCACGCACAGCAGGAAGAGTTGTTACAGAACAACCCACACACCACAAGAGCCCAGTGGGTGCTGAAAACGTCCACACCCCAACCACCACCAAGATTCAGTGTTCCTGTTGCCTCTAGAAGCTCACCACCTCCACATCCACCTTCATCAGCATCCTGGACAACCACTGGCAGGGCTTTGCTTTACTTATTTACAAGATTATTTTTAAGGTGTGTGTGTGTGTGTGTGTGTGTGTGTGTGTGTGTGTGTGTGTGTATCTGAGTGCAGTACCCACGGAGGCCAGTAGGGGGTATTAGATAGCTTAGTGCTTGAGTCACAGGCAATTTTGTTACCTGAAGAATAGTTCATGTCCCTAACCTCTGAGCCACCTCTCCAGCTATTTTTTTTTAATTTTAGATTAACTTGCTGTGCTGTTTAAGATGGAATTGCTGAGGGTGACAACCTCACACTTCACCTATGAAATGTTCAATCACTTTGCTTTTAATCTGTATTTCCAGGAGTCTTTGGTGCTTACTGTTCATACAAATGCCCACCTTTATTGGCCCATTTCCTTTTTATTGGGTCGGAGCATGGTTGTTGTTGTTGTTGTTGTTGTTAGAAGGAAGAGAGTTGGCATTGTGGACATTTCCTTTTAGGCTATGCCTGGCCCCTGTCTTTTGTTTTAATATTTATTTTTATTCTGTGTATGGATGTTTTACCTGCATACATGTCTGTGTGCAATGTCCACAGAGGCCAGTAGAGGGCGATGGATCCTCTAGAACAAGATTGTGATCAATTCTGTGGGTGCTAGGAATTGAATTCAGGTCCTCTGGAAGAGCAGGCAGTGCTCCTAACCATTGTACCACCTTTCCAGCCTTTTATATCTTCACTTTTTTCTGAAGTATTTCATTTTTCCTGACCTCTTTGTTGCTAGCAACATAAAAACTGAGATGTTTGTGTTTACTCTCTTTTATGCTTGATCCTAGTGAAACCCAGCAATTTTTATGGAAAAAAATTCATGGAAGTGTCATGCATTCTCCTCAGAGAAACACCGGGGTGGGCTGCTGATATGACCCCATCCCTTAGCTCAGCTGGTGTTGGCATCATCTCCACGGTGAAGCAATGTCTTTTCTCTCCCGGGGAGGAGCACCTTGAGGTTACATAGGACCCTGCTCTCAAGCCTCCCCTGTGATCTCAGCCTCCATTGAGGGTTGCCTGTACAGCCATTGTTACGATGGTGTCTGCCTGAGGATGGATCCTCCTCCTTCCGTCCACACCTGTTCATCAGGCGCAGGTCACTTCCATCCACACCTGTTCATCAGGAGCAGGTCACTCACTGGGTGGTGGGTTCATGCCCCTGTGGGCTCCTCGGTGCTTAGTCTTTTTCTCTGGGTCATGATCCAATAGTGATCATTATTTACTTCACTGTTCAAGTTGTCTCAGCACAGGTCATTGGGGGCTCCTTCTGGTAGGTTCTGCATCCTTCTGATGTGTCCTCATCTTCTGGCGCCACTGTGTCTTGGTCCAGCCCTAAACCCAATCGCCTCTTCAAGGGGCCCTGGCTGCAGATGATGATGTTTAGAAACCCAGGCCTGAACACAGGAGCATCTGTTAACTGGGAGTGTCATTGTGGTGGCTCCCCAAACATTATCCCTCCTGTACACGCCCACATGTTTCTATCCACACATGGAAATCAGGAGTCCAAGCATACACATCCCGTGACGTCCAATACAGTACATTCTACTCCCTGCTCCTCAGAGGGAAATAACAGCCTTGGGATATACATACATTTACCAGTTTAATCCACCCCAATACACATATTCCACTCAGCAGAATCTCCAGTTCAGACTCCTGTCCAGACACAAATACACTGCAGTTGCCTTTCCATTCTTAGCCTCCGGTACCCATTCAGCACACCACATGGGTTCTCGTTAGTTTGTGTTCCTCAGTACCCAGCGTGGCTACAGGACTCACTGTCACTCTACAACACCGAGAGGTCACTGTTACTAGCTTCTACTTCATCTTGGGTCCCCCTCACCTTGGATGGGGTGAGACATCGTCCAGGGTCAAGGCTAATAAGGGAGACACTCCGGGAATTACTTTTCCTTTTCTTCCCCCAGCCTACCCTGGCCCCTCCCTCCCTCCTGTCTCCCTTTTCTGCCCTTCACGACAGTAGCCATTGTCTCTAACTCCCAGCCCTCTCTGTACCTCTGTACCTGGCCACACATATTTTGTTACTTCTCTGTCTTTCTACCATGAGGAATATAGAAGAATGTTGATAATTACTTTTTAAACTTTTAAAAGCATACTTTTTTGTGTGTGAAGTCTCACTATGTAGCCCAGGCTGGCATCACCTTCCTTCTGCCTCAGGCTTCCAAGAGTGTACCACCATGACCAGCTCTATATACACATCACTTTAAAAATGCTCTTCAATTGGTATTTTCCTGATTACTTTTTTAAAATTTAAGATTTTTATATTTTTATTTGTGTGTATGCGTGTGCACACAGTACACACATGTACCTCTGTGAGTTTATGTGACCACCTGAGTTCAGTGTACATGGAGTCCAGAAGAAGGCATTAGATTCCCCTGGAGCTACTGTTACAGGTGGTTATGAGCTGCCTGGTGTGGGTGCTGGAAACCAGACCTGGGTCCTCTGCAAGTATAGCAAACATTCATAACTGTTAAGCTATCTTTCCACCCCATCCTAATAATTTTTAATATACACACATGGTGTTCTATTCTGTAAACATCTTTTTTCCATATCTATGGAGATACTAGGTTTTTGTTCATCTATGAATACAGTGCATACTATTAACGGAGCTCCTAACAGTAAACCAACATTGCATTATTCCTGCAATGTTTCCTCTTGGTCAAGACACATAAATCAGTTTATTTCCATGTTTTCCCACAGTGTTTACTACAGTGAGTTTTCTCTATTAGTTTGTTTTCATCCTTGTCATCTTGTATCTTCGTCTGGGTCAGTGCCAGGTACCACCATGCTCAATTTTCATACTCAAATGTGCTTGACAGGGTAGCAGTGTTGAAGATGGGTTTTTAAAGGCAATCAAGTCTTGAAGAGGGGAATAATCTGTCTTGGACTGGATTAGTTCTTTTGAGAATGGAGTGGCTGTCCTATGACAGACTGTTAGAGAGGATCAACTCCTTTGTGCCCACCCTTCTCTGGGCTCCCATCTTACTCTCTGAGGGCTTCTGCATGCAATGCCCCCATCTGTGATGGTGCCGCCTAAGACCCCCAACACATGATGCAGCCGCCAGACCTTCTTCCCTCCAGAAACTGTCAGCTAAAGTAAACCCCCATCTTTAGAAATTACCAAATCCTAAGTGTTCTGCTATCAGAAAAGAAAAAGGCAACAACTGGAGAGTGTGGACTTGGAAGTTTTCCATATTTCACAGCTGATTGGTGGAGGACCATCATTCTTTACTAATTCGTGGGAAATTCCTATTCCTAACTTTTATAGTAGTGGTATATACCCCCCCACTGTAGTCTCCCGGTAATTCTGCCCTCTTTTATCTCAGTGTTCTCTCAGTCTGGCTCTCCCACCTAACCTCTTCCTGTCTAGCTATTGCCCAGTTTGTTCTTTATTAAACCAATGAGAGCAACACATCTTCACAGTGTACAAAAGGATTATTCCACAGCACTGGCCCCCTTTCATTGTTGATATTAGTTGTGGTGGCTTGAATGAGAATTGTCCCACATGGGTTCATGTGTTTGAACAGTTGATGGTGCTGTTTGGGGAGGCTGTGGACATTTTAGGAGGTGCATGCAGCCTTGCTAGAGGAAGTACATCAGTGGGGGCGGGATCTGAGAGTTTATAGCCTTTCTCCACTTCCTGCTGGCTTTCTCTGCTTTCTGAACGTAGCTGAAATGTGATCTCAGCTTCTTGCTCCTGATACCATGCCATGCCTCCTGCCATGATGGACTTTCTATCCCCAGAAACTATAAGTCAAATAAACTCTTCCCTAAGTTGCTTTAGTAGTGGCATTTTATCCTAGTGATGGAAAAGTCACTAATACATTAGCAATTTGCATTAATTTTTTCCTTGGTAGTTTGTCAAGGAATTATGACTTTTGTTCATCTTTTCTAATAGAGTTTTTGGGTTTCAAAATATTCTCTATTAATTGTAGAAATTATCTTTATTATTTCCCTGGTTCTACTTATTTTGGATTTAATTTGTGTCCCAGTATGCAGCCTATTCTTGTAAATATCTCATGGGTATTTGAAGAGCAATTTTCCTTGAGATTGTTGGGGCTGAGGCGCTCAGCACACTGAGGTGGTGTGTAAGGCAGCTCTCACCTCTGATGTCATCTGCTTTGACTCTGACCCAACCTCCTTGAGGACCACCTTTATCTTCAACACTCAGAGCCCCTAGTACGTTTTCTTTACAGTATGCTTTTCCAGAATCCAAGTACCATGTAAGTCAAGAAGGGGTTGTCATCACGGTGAACCATCACCTGATCACAGCATATTTGATTCATACGCATCGACTGCATATACTTCAGGCTGTGACATGTATGATGATTCCATATGTAGAAGGGGGTGGAGGAGGGGAGAGGAGGGGAGGGAGGGGAGGGGAAGGGGAGGGAGGCTCTCCAAGCACAGGAGTGGCATACGCAAAGGGTCTGTGGTGGAGTTCAGTGTGGAAATGAGCAGACCGCAGTGGTAGGGAAGAGGGTGGGATGGCTCCAGCCACCCCAGGCTGTTCAGGCTGTGCTCAGAAGTTGCTTGGTAACCATGACACCTTGGGATTGAGTGGGGGACGGAGCAAGTCCAAAGAGAGTGGTGATGGAGCAGGGCAGGGAAGAGCAGCTAGGGGAGTAAATGAAGCCTTTGGCTTCCCGATAAGGAAGGTCAGGGCTTCCCCTGCAGGTATTCTGAGAAACAAACCCAGGACAGAAAGACTACAGTGACCACATTATCCTCACCCCTTAGATATGCTCCCCCGGATCCCCCCCCCCCGTAAGCTTGGGCTATCCACATCCCACCTCTGCAGACTTACCTGACTCTGCCACCTCAGCAATAGGCACTCCCTGCTCATATGCCATGAAGCCCAGGACTGAGAAGATGGCGAACCCAGCCACGAAACTGGTGCCGCTGTTCAGACAGCAGAGCATGATACAGTCCCTGTGGGGAAGCAGTGAGAGGGGCCTGAGTCAGTGCAGGCAGAATGGGCAGCTGCTGGAACTTTCCCCACCTGAGACCAGGACACACTGTGGGGCCGCAGGGAAGCATACACACTGACAGCCTCCCGTTTTCCAAACGAGGTATTTGTGGTTCAGAGAGGGTGGATAGCTGGCCCACAGTCACACAGCTTTCCCTGCATTGCTAGAAGACAAGGTAGATCTCATGGAGAGGCATGTGACAGAAGGAAGGGAGCCTGGCTTTGTACACCAAGTGAGGGAGGAATCAGGAAACAAACACCGCTCTGATTCCTGAGGAGAAAAAGCCAAAAACAACAGGAGGGGACCATGTTCCCAAGTCATAAATCTCAGAGGGTAAGGGAAGCCTTCATGTGAGAAGCCAGGTGAGTGACCAAGGACCATAGGCATGTAGCTCCAGCAGCTTCCAGGGGAGAGGTTTTGTGGTGACACCCATCCTGGCTGAGCAGGGGAGAGGTTTTGTGTGGCACCCATCCTGGCTGAGCAGGGGAGAGGTTTTGTGTAGCACCCATCCTGGCTGAACAGGGGAGAGGTTTTATAGTGACAACCATCCTGGCTGAGCAGGGGAGAGGTCTTGTGTGGCACCCATCCTGGCTGAGCAGGGGAGAGGTTTTGTGTAGCACCCATCCTGGCTGAGGCCATTTCCAAGCAGTGCCCTCCATTCTTCTTCACCCAGGTTCTGCTGAGCCGGCCAGCTCATGGAGGAGACTGATGAGAGCAGTTGCTTTTGAGAGGCACCTACCAGCTGGGAAGCACCAGTATAAAGCCTCAACCAAGGGGAGATTAGACGACATGATGGGGCTTTAGGAAGATGAGGGTGATGGCCCATCCTATCCCAGGCTCTAGAATTCAGCCTCTGTAGTTCGGGCTCACAACTCAGGTCAGGGTGCGTGCCAGTGCCTTGCTCTGTATGGGAGGTACACTTGGGTGATCCCAATCAACGGTGTCCCAGAGTGGAGTGACATTGTGGCCTCAGCTCTGGCCCAGGAAGTCCCCTTTTCACTGGCTGGGGCCTCCCGCTGACAGCACAGAGATTTTCCTTATATTCCATTAGACAAAAGTCTGCCTTGGCCACCTACAGGCTCAGGGGAGGGGCTGGAGGCTGGGGTGGTCTGGAGGGTGAGCCTCAGAACTCCCTGGCCTTGTGTTCTGTCAGCTGACAGCCTGCTTTTCTTACCACTCCTTCATCCTGTCCCCCATCTGTAGAGCACCCTGGCTTGCCCAGAGTCTCTGCAATTATCATGTTCAGGACTGAGAACTCCCCTGTCTTCTTCTAGCACGAGGCCTTTTGTAACAGAACCAAAGGTTACCACTAATGTTGGCAACAAACCAACAAGGACCCTGGCAATGAGGGCACCGTGGAGAGAGCACTTGACAAGGAGTTAGGAGTCTGGGGCTATGACTCTCCCTGCAGGTCTTTTCTTTGGGACTGATCACCATAAAGCATTTGGTAGCGGGCCTCATGGGCTGGGATTTATTTTATTTTGTTTTATTTTTTGCTTATTTGTTTTTGGTTTTTTGAGACAGGGTTTCTGTGTAGTCTTGGCTGTCTTGGAACTTACTCTGTAGATCAGGCTCACCTTGAACTCAGGGATCCACCTGCCTCTGCCTCCTGAACACTAGGGGTAAGGGCAAGCACGACCACACCTGGCTGTCATGGGCTGTTTCTAATCCCCCCACTTGGGGGCAGAATGGAAGCCCCAGGTTCACTGGCTTCGGCTTTGCCATGTGACCTACTTTCGGACAGTAAGGACATTAGCTGACATGAACAGACAGTTGACTGCTATCTTCTTGACTGGACTTGTCTTCTATCATTCTTGCAATTATTTTTTTCCCCATGGGAAGAACTCCCAAGGAAATGACTGTCCCTTCAAGCCTGGACCACAGGATGTACACAAATAGCAGATTTGAGCCTGACCTGAAGCCAAACCTACCCACTCATAGCCAGGACAGTTTCCCTAGCCAACCTGAGACCAGGAGTAGGAACACAAGTGCTCAGCCCCTGGGGCCAGGGCTATTTGTCATGGCAGCAGATGAGTGATAAAGGTCCCTGTAAAGACCTCTTCTGACAGTGAGCTGCTAACCCTGACTACTGTCTAAAGCCCCATTTGCCTCTACTGTGGAAGAAACAGCCCAGGCGAGGAGAGGACCACATTATCCCGAGAGAGCAGGGACTGGCTTACTCATTAGCTAGCATCTTATTACCCCAAATCCAATCAAGGTGTCCTTTGCATCTTCTCATCAACCTAAAGCCAAGCAGCCCTGACATATCCAGTGTATCCAGCAGCCGGAATGGGAGGATCTGGAAAGGAGGCATCACTCCATGCTTGCTACCTTCTGGATGTCTCCTGTCATGTGAAAGGCCAGCCCTGTGTTAGGTCTTCCGAATCTCGAGACTGGAGGAGGTCCAATTGTCAGTTCTCAGTGAAATGATAGCTGGGAATCCAGGCCTCTCAGATGCCCTTTCTGGGGGCTAAATGACACTTCCTAAGAATCAAGGCTTCCAAGGCCCGACTGCGGACAGTTACCTTCAGACACCATGAGGCTGGGGAAGGCAAATGTCCCTTTCTGCAAATCCCCCATAGGCTCTCAGATCACTTTCTTGTTATTGGAGCTCTCAGGGACGTATGGCCCCTTCAGCTCTGTACATGGGTGCCAGCCTCCACCTGTGAGCACACTCAGCCCCACAAGGCCGGCCCTGCCTGGCCCTTCTATCCCCCTCCCGCCTTCCCCTACAGTTCCCTGCAATCTCTGGGGAAGGCTTATATAACCCGGGCTTTGAAGTCAGCAGGGGCTGAGCTGGGCTTGCATGAGCTCCAGAGGTGACTAAGCTGTCAGGAGAGGGGATTAATTGACTGCTGGGCAGACCTGTTTGCAGAACAGTCTGGAAACAGATTTTTGCAGGCATCTGCTTTGTTCCACTGAACGACAGGGAGAGGAGGGAAAGTCCTGCCTGCTGAGTCCCTGCCAGCAATGGATGGGACAGGCTCCTCTCTTAGCCCCATACCCATGCTGAACGCTCTGCATTTTCAGATCGCTGCTAGGTTGCTGGCTGGAAAAAAAATCACTCGCGTTCAATTTTACATATATGGTCTAAGCCCCCAAACACGTTAAATGTCACTTTTTGACTTCTAATTTAACAAATAATTTGTATATTTGATTTGGGGTTAAATAATACATAGATGATATCTGTACTAATTTGATTTTCCTTGCTGGGAAGGGCCTGGGCGAGGGTTAGGACAGGGTCTCACTGTATCTTAGGCTGGCCAGGGACTCATGTAGCTCAGGCTAACCTCAAACTCATAACAATCCTGCTTCAGCTTCCTGTGTGCTGGCATTGTGTGCTAATATGCCTGGATCTCCCGATTCTATTTTCTTTTAATGCATAAAAGCAACATGTACCCAGAGTGAACAAAGATGCCTTCAATATATAGGAGTCAGGAGAGGGGAAACCAGGCTTCCTGATGTGCTATTTTAATAGTTTTCTCTTTCCTCCAAGTGTGAGATGGTGCAGATTTTCACCAGTTACTCCTTCCTGATGGACTCAGTTTTAGTTTCCTACCTTCTTTTCACATCCCCAAATCAGCATTCAGTTCCTTACTTTAGGGTAGCTTCTCTCTGTGGCTAGCTGGTATGTAGGGTGGATACAGGTGAGACGTCCTTTCTCAGCTGGTCTGTGCTCATTGTGGTACCCCATCACAATTCCAGTGTCTCCCTCCTATGGAAGGAGCTCCCGGGCCCTCACAGTGTGATGCTCTCTGTGTCATCAACGCTGTCATGGCAGTCAGGGACCCCAGAATGAGCTTATTCCAAACCTTGCTCTTGCACACACACTGCTGACTGTCCTTGGCCATCTGTGGGTCTCAGCTCCATGGTGGCACTCAAGCTGCAGGCCTGTGAGGTTTCACAGTCTTGGTCACCTCCCTGCCTGGACCCTATGCGGCCAGGAGGTCAAGAGGACTATGAGCCAAGGACGGCCCAGCCACTCCGGGTAGGTCAAGAGAGGGTTCCCTGGGCCTGCCTATGAAATGCAACAGGGGGACCTTGTTTCTACAAGGTCCTTACAGTGGAAACACTTGAGTTGAGTCATTTTGGTTCCTTATTAGCTGTTTGACTAATGTATAACCCATGCTGCACATTCTGTCACTGGGAACTGACTGAGGCTGTGGGGTGGATTTGCTGTGCATCTAGGGCAGACTGTTTGCATGTGGCAATTTCCCAGCTCTTTCCCTGTGATCCTGGGGGAAGGGCAGGGCTGACAAGCAGCCCTCTGTGTTCTGGGCCCTGCACTGTGGACAGCTGTGAGGCTTTGGAAGCTGTGGCTGTTGGCTGGGCTCACCTGTAGCAGTTGTTGTTATAGTTGTTGTAACTCCCCAGAGCGGTCAGGCAACCCAGGCAGATGGCGTAGGAGAAAAAGATCTGTGTCCCAGCGTCCACCCATACCTGGAGGAGGGCACAAAAATGTGGGCATTGAGAGTCTGACGTGGGAGGAGGTAGAGTCCAGTGAGGGAAGAGGGAGAACTAGATGAGGGAGGAGGGAAAGTCAGATGTGGGAGGAGGGAAAGTCAGATGTGGGAGGAGGGAAAGTCAGATGTGGGAGGAGGGAAAGTCAGATGTGGGAGGAAGGAAAGTCAGATGTGGGAGGAGGTAGAGGGAAGAGTGAGAACTAGATGAGGGAGGAGGGAGAGTTAGATATGGAAGGAGGAAAGTCAGATGTGGGAGGACTGAGTTAGATGTGGGAAGAGGGAGCTTGCTCTGTGGATACTGCCCCCCAAAAGAAATTCTAGGACAGGAATATCAAACTTCCTAACTTTCTTGGGAACTCCCATTAAAACATTTATATTCCTGGGACTACCTCATTAAAAAAGAAATTTCCTTAATAAATACTAGATTTTTTCAAAGGTTGTGGACAAAATCCATTATATAAGAATTTGGATATTGGGCTTAGTCTATGGGTACAGGCCTGTAAGTCTAGCATTAAGAAGGCTGAGGCAGGGCAATCTCTGCAAGTTCAAGGCCAGCCTGTCTACTTAGTGACTAGGTTGGCCAGAGCTACATAGCAAGACCTTATCTCCAAAAATAAATAAATAAAACCAAGTATAGTGGTGCACACCTTCAATCCTAGCACTTGGGAGGCAGAGGCAAAAGATCTCTGTGAGTTCGAGGCCAGCCCAGCCTACAGAGTGAGTTCCAGGACAGTTAGAGCTACATAGTGAGGTCCCGTCTCAAAGAAAGAAAACAATCAAAAATGGTATTTGGATATTAAGCACCCTGGCTCCAACTGTGTGATTTGCAAAAGTAACTTAATATCCCAGGGCTTAGTTCCCTCATCTGCCCAGTAGGGAAAGAATGACCCTGTCTGTCAGGCCTGCTGTGAGGATGAGTGTGCCAGAGTGTGAGCGCTGGGCACGCACCCTCCCTCTATGCCACACCACACTGAAGTGTGAAAACAAGCTCTGTTCTCGGTAATTAAAATTACCATGAAGACAGTTTCCCATGACTGTGCAGAGAAAGTGTTGACACAAGCTGCCCAAATACAGACTAGGGGTGTGTGTGCACACATATCTGTGCATGTCTGTGGGTTCACTAGTTTACAAAACAGATTCCCTAGTGCCAGCTTCCCTGGGGTACAGCCAGCCAGCAGCTTCTTAGTCACCAAAGTCCCCTCTGACTAAAATTTCTCTCAACAGCATGATGTAACGGTGGCAGCCACACTGACATTTCAAGTACCCCCCTTTACCTAGGCTTGAAGCTCAGCATCTAGAAATCTCTAAGGAAAAGTAACAGCTGAAACTCAGGCTGGTTTTGGGCTGAGCACCCAGCGCCACCTGGAGATGAGACTCAGCACTGAACACAGACAGGAGCAGCCTTTATTAAGCACTTTTGGTATGCGAGGCACCTCGTTGAGCTTCTACATAAGACTGCCCATGAATGTCAGCAGTCCTGGGCAGCCCTATGCAGGGGTTGCCCTTAGCCTGCTCCTCTAGCCAGCGCCACACAGCTGGGACATGATGGGTGGAAACACACAGACCCACTTCTGGAGACACAGCTTCCGCCCCCATGCAGGCTCAGAACCAACCCCTGCATCCTGGTGCTTCATCTCTACTTCATAACGGACTCTCTTAGTCTTTTGGATGGACATCCATCTGACTGCTGTCACTAATGGGGAGTGACGCGTGTCTTTCTTCTTTAGATACCTCTGACTGGTGAGTCATTTCCTAAAGTGAGAATTCTCCTTTCTTGGTGTTTGATTCTGGGTCAGACCATAGCTTTATTTTGCACATGACAGTACTGCCCCAAAGCTTTCTGATCCCCAACACATCCCCACAATCCCTTCTAGAGGATTTGCTCACATGGAACAGGCTACCTTGTCTACATCTGGCACATTTGTGAAAACATCCAATGGTAGCATATGAGAAATGCTTCTGACCCTAGCAGGAGTGTCTGCCAACTTCTCCTAACCCAGGCCAGCTGGCTTTAGAATGTCAGCTGAGGGGAAACACCATGAGCGTGTGTGTGTGTGTTGCTGGCAGATCAGGGTGTACTGAGTGAGACATGGGTATTTAGAACAGAGATAAAGCAAGAATGTTTGAAAAAAGCTGTAGGAAATCATTACTGTGTGCTTACTTAAAATTACACTCACACACAGAGTGTTTAATAAAAGTTATGCCACTTTGGGTAACCTCTCAATAGCCATAGACTATCTAATAACAACCCCAATGCCAGGCATGGGAAACTTCCTTTTGAGTTGTTGATAAGATAAGTTCAAGACCCCCTACCTCAATATAGACTATTGCCATAGCCTTTGGTTTCTTTTAGAAAAAGAAGTAAGATATTACTAAGGACTCCACATAATTTGGTCACAGGAAGAATCCATCTGGATATGACCTGGAAGCCTCCTCTGTAAGGACCAGCTCTCATAGTATCAGAAGGAACCATGCAAGATGCCTGTTGAGGACCAGGTCACAGCAAATCTCTATTTCTTGGCCCAAGGCACTTCCCAGAACTCAGGTCCCTTCCCACAGATGGGCCTGACACCATAGAGATAACCCATCACTTAACCTGCACTCCCTGGTGAAATCTCCTGCTCATCACTTGTCAAATGTTTCCTGTTTCTGACAGCTCCCTGCCCTCAGTGCCTCCTGTCTAACAACCTCCAACATTTCTCTGCCCCATCCAATGCCACATTCCCCTATATAAGCTTGTACAAATTTCTCAATAAACGGAGCTTGATCATCCATGTTGTCTTGCTCCAATTTCTTGTGTCTCCTGTTCCCCATTTGTCTCCCCTCAGGATAACCCACTTTGACTTATCCCCACCAGTGGGGCAGCTGTCAATCAAAGCAACAGTCCAACCCACTGTAACACCAATGTACAATGACAAGATATTCTGAAAGGCGCAATAATGACACATATATCCTGGGGTAACCAACAGCTATCTAATTGGACTTAAGGCCTACTCAACAGGAGAGAATTTGTGCCTGGCACTGTAAATCTAGCCAACTAACCACAGTCAGTGAGGCCATAGGGCTCAAAGGAGAACCTACTCCAGTCACTATAAAGCAGTATGGTTCCCAACTCTCCTTCAAATACTTATCCTTGTACCTACAGATAAGTGGAGCTCTCACCCATCATCAAAGGAGCTTCTTTTTGCAGCAGAGACCATCACAGAAAGCCACAACTGGTCAAAATGCAGAGAACAACCAACCATGGGTACCTACCTCCAGTGGATACATCTACAACAAATCACTGCACCTAAGATTCAGGGATGTCTTAGAAGAGGACAAGGAAAAATTTTAAGAGCCAGAGGACCATGACGTTTGCTACGAGATAGTGCCTTCTAAAAAACAAAACACAAAGTGGAGGTTGCTGGAAGAAAGGGGTGAATATGATTAAAACACATCGTATAGGATACTGCTGCTCCATGGTGCTGTCTATGGTACATTCTTCACCCATGGTGAAATATAGGTGGAAATAGATGGAACCTATTCTCATGGTTTTCTTGTAACAGCCATGAGTGAGATGGGACCAGTCCTTTTCTTCTGCCCTGCTGTAACGCAGAGGGGATGCTGCTGGGCAGAGGGATGTCGATGACTCAGGGTTTATTTTCCAGCCTTTGAAGTCCTAGGATTTCCCCTTCAGTGACTATCAGAGTCTTTAAAATGGTGGTGATGCCATCGATGCTTTCTGGAGCCATCGTTCTTTTACCCCTAGACTCTTCTCCAAAATGTCTGTGCTCCCTCTTTGTCCCAGTCTTTGCCTGCTCAGACTGGGTTCTCCTTAAGGTCATATCTCCTGCCATGGGGCCTCACCTGCCCCCACCCCCATTGCCTTCCCTATTACCAGGGACCCGCAACCTGCATGGACCCTCTTGGTCTGGTCAGATATCCTGGGATAAGCCAGCAAGCATCCGGCCTACCATGGCCCTCTCCTTGGGGCAAGCATTTAATGTTCCTTGGGCTTCCTGGTGTTCAGCCTGCAGATTGTCTTTCATCTTCTCCCAAGCTCACAGAATCACCACACTGTTGTTGTGTAGCTCATGTAGTCACCTCACCAACTGGAAGACCCTGCCAATGGCTTTCTCTCGTACTATCCTGACTTCTCTGCTGGGGTTAGGGAGTCTGACAAATTAAAATGTGCGTTTTGATTTGTTTTCTGCTGCTATCTTGTCTCAAGATCATCTTTAATAGCCAGGTGTAGCCCGCACAGGGTCTGTCTTCTACCCCTGACATGGTGACCCAAGCCTTTCCTGAAACCCCCAGTAACAGTTTTCTACATAGTCTTTGGGCAGAGAGACAAAGACCTAGAAGCTTCCTCATGAAACTTTCTGGGGCCCATGGGGACTGACTCCTATCACTTCTGCCCACATACCATGACTAGGGCCAGGCCATGAGGTCCCAACGTAAAGGCAAGGGAGTCTGGGAAGTGTTCCCAATAAGAGGGGACAAATGGCTAAGAACCAAGTCATGATCTCTAAGACATTACATCATGCCCAAACTTCTTTAGCTACTAGAAAATTTATACATAGGAAGGGAGAGAGGGAGGGAGGGAGGGTAGGAAGGAGGGGAGGGAGGGGAAGGAGAGAAGGGAGGGGAGGGGAGGGAGGGGGAGTGAGAAATAAAAGCATGGCGCCCATGGAAGGATTTGACAATCAAAGAAAAGTAGGGTGAAGAAAGTAGGAAAAACACATTTCTGATCCCTCCATGGAGTTGGTGAGAGACTTGATTTAACATTGGTCAAAGCGAACCAAGTTCTCGAGGCTTCCACGCACAAATTTCAGGGTTTGCATGTTTTTGCCAGGTAAGTTCTGGCATCTGAGAAGGAGATTGATCATCAAAGGCCAAAGAGCTCTTAAAGGAGACTCAGGTCTCGGCTGTCAGGGTCTATGTTTCAGAGAAAGGCAGGGGAGTCCCCTGGTTTTCAGCATGCATCTGGCATCCCTA